TGAATATGGAGTAATTTCCAATACTAAGTGCTCTTAAATTATTTAACATGAAAAATTCTGTCATGCTCCACAGGTGCTTCAGGGTGCACACCCACGGACTGAAGATTCATTCATTTTTACTAGCTGTTTGAATACACAGTTTCTGAAAGATTTTGCTAGAGAAACAACAATTGCATTCTGAAGGGACATCTGGCATTGGGCTCAGTGGTCTGATACGTGTTTTCTTGCAAGTGTCCATTTACAGTGAAAACGGACATTACTGCTGAAGACACCTGGCATTAGCTGCACTTGGCTGTCACCACTTGTCCTGCACTATGTTAATCAGTGTTATAATGGTCTAGGCTAAGGAAGAAAATCTTGTATCAAATTGTCAACCTATACTTAACAGTTTCATTGGGAGTCAGATGACTACTGGCACACTTTTTCATTTTCTAATATTCTAGTTTCCATTACACTGCTCATGAGGGAAAAAAAAAATTCTGTTGGACCTGGCATGATAGCCTAGTGGCTAAAATCCTCGCCTTCCACATGCCATAATCCCATATGGACACTGGTTCTAATGCTAGGGGCCCTCCTTCCCATCCAGCCCCTTGCCTGTGTTCTGGGAAAGCAGTGGAGGACAGCCCAAAGCCTTGGGACCCTGCACCTGCATGGGAGACCTGGAAGAGGATCCAGGCTCCTGGCTTCAGATCAGATCAGCTCCAGCCATTGCAGTCACTTGGGGAGTGAATCAACAGATGGAAGATCTTCCTCTCTGTCTCTCCTCCTCTGTATATTTGACTTCCAAATAAAAATAAATAAACCTTAAACAGGAAGAATCTGTAAAAAGAAGCAGTTACTTAGCCAAAAGTAATTTTGACTATAGGCGAAAGTAGCCACTCTCAATTTCTCACTAGTAAGCATAAAATTGAAATGACCTAGATGACAAATGCTTCTTTTGGAATCAAAGTATTTGCTTTAGTACAGGTTCATAGCATACAATCTGAAATGTGTTCTTGCAGAGATATTATTCATTTTTCCTGATTTTTAGAATTATGGGATAGACATATTTCTTATATGCCCTGTGGGGCTTGGGTCAGTACCCTGCAGCTCTACACATTAATATTTTTTAGCAGATGTGTCCAAAGTTCCCATTAGATAGAGTGCACAACAGTTGAGATGAGCCTTGCCATTAAGTGATTTCAGCATGTCAGCAGTGAAAAAGCCTTTATTTGGAGAGATTTTTTAATTATAAATCTGATGTTTTCCTGCAAATGATTAGGCATGTGATTTTTGTCATTTATCCCTAAGCCTCAATCATTTCAATTGCCAAAATGAGAAATGGGTTTAATCCAATTATTAATGAATTTTCAAATCACATTATGTGAAATCAATGTTCTATTATAGGAAAACCTATAATTTATTTTGTAACACCTCAGCTTAATAGTCTCTTAATTAAGAGACCTTCAACATTTTTGGAAGATGGGTAGTATTTATAATTTATATATAAGAATTAAGCTATGTGACCCAAGAAGTGTGTCTACTTGGTACTCTGTGTTGTTGGAACCAAAGTAGGTTTCAACTTCATGAAGACAGATTTGTTTGGGTTGAAACTTTGATTATCACAATATTCTGGGGCGTTCCTTTAATTACATTTTATCATAAACTTTTTTGAGACACATTGTTATTCCAGTGTAATGTTCTCTTTTACTTGAGAGATTTATTTGTAGGGAAAAGTTATGGGTGGAGTAGATGGAAGATACAAAGAGAAAACTTCTACCTGCTGATTCACACTCCAGAATAGCCACAGCAGTCACAGTTGGGCCAGGCTGAAGCCAGGAGCTTGGAACTCCATCCAGACCTCCTTATCAGTGATGGAGTCCAAGGGTTTGGTTCGTCCATTTCCCATTGATTTCCCAGGCATGTTGGCAGTGAACTAGATCAAGAACTCAGTGGCTGGGGATCTGACTGGCAATTTGATAGGAGATTCTAGCACTGCAGGTGGAGGCTTAACCTGTTGTGTTACAGTGCTTGCTCCAAGTATAATATTCTTTTTTTTTTTAAAGATTTATTTATTTTTATTACAAAGTCGGATATACAGAGAGGAGGAGAGACAGAGAGGAAGATCTTCCGTCCGATGATTCACTCCCCAAGTGACCACAACGGCCGGTGCTGCGCTGATCCAAAGTCAGGAACCAGGAAACTCTTCTGGGTCGCCCATGTGGGTGCAGAGTCCCAAAGGTTTGGGCCATCCTCACTGCTTTCCCAGGCCACAAGCAGGGAGATGGTTGGGGAAGTGGAGCTGCCGGGATTAGAACCGGCGACCATATGGGATCCTGGCACGTTCAAGACGAGGACTTTAGCTGCTAGACCACGCCGCCGGGCCCCAAGTATAATATTCTTATAAATTTAACTAAAATTTGAGATGTGTAAACATGGTGAGACACATTTGGTGAGTTACAAAGCTTTCCCTTGAAAACTCAATGCAATGGCCTTGAGAGGTGGTGGAACTTTTAAGAGATGAATGGATTATTAGGTGGGATCAGTGCAGTTCTCATGGCACTAAATTAGTGAGGCTCTTTTTATATTTTTCCTCTTCCATATACTCCGGCTTTCCTTAGCTTTCCCACTATGCAGTGCAAGGCACTTGCCAGATATAGCTGCTTTTTGTGGCTTGTACCTGTGTTATAGAAAAATGCAGTATTTGGTGTCTTTGTTTACAGGATGCAGTTCAGTTTTCTGCCACTTTCTGTGGTCTTGCTCCATGTTAACTTTATCATTTAACTGAGGTTGTTGATGACATTTACGTATGATACTCTTACTTGCTGGGTATGTCAGTAGGGCAAACTAAAAGAAGCTGAAATATTATATTAGGGAGAGGGACACTATAGTATGGGCTTAGAGATTGCTTTTGTGGTTCTTGTGAGTTTGTCATGAGACATCTAGTATCAAATACCCACTTTTGATTGAGTTCCTCAAGCAGTATGTGCGGTGTTAAATATTCATGGAAAATGTGTATTATGATAACTTATGCATAGATCTCAAAATATTTTTCAGCCAAATAGACTTGTGCTAGCTTATTGTAACATCTAAGCAGGATATAGTTTGAGGCCCTAAGAAGATATCAGTTTGAAAAGAAAGCACGATTTTTGCTAAATTTGAAGCAAAATGTCACATTTATCACGATGGTTGGGTTGGAATATAGCAATCATTAAGGTTTATGAAGTTTATGGTGAAAATGCTTGAAACAGATCAGCAGTTTATAAATAACCCATTTTAAGGAGGAATGTGACAGCATTGACAGGGAGACCAGGTCCAATCTGCTTGTGAAGAAAAATTCGTTTTGTTTGTATGCTTATTCAAGAGGACTGACAATTAACAATCTGAATTACAGTCCACACTACAGACATCTCAACCAACTCACCTCCCACAACTCCAACCAACAAGTTAAAAAGGTGCAGTCTTTTGTCATGATAACTTGGGCAGCTTTTTGGAAGTCATTGATGTCTGTTCTTTCTTCCTGCATTTAGAAATGTTTAGTTATTGCAAAGGTCTCTAGGCACAGTTAGATCAATCCAGTGGATACTGAACACAACCTTAGCAAGTATTTCTTGGAAGAACCACTTGATTGGTCCTTTTATCCTGAAGGTGATCCTAAATGATTGCAGTTGCATCTATCACAACTTGGGCTCCCAGGAAGCAGATACTGAAGTAGACTTAGGAATGCAAGATGTTTATCGGGGTTCCACATCCATGAAAGGAATCAGGAAGAAGTAGAATTGGGAAAATGAAGAATCAATTTCAAGCAGATCCAACAAATTCTATGCGAATTTGAAGTAGGGCCTATTGCAAATATTGTCTGTCTGTGACTTACATTGGACCCAAATTGGCTTATACTCCTGCCTTACTTAGTTGTAAGGTATGGCTGCCCCAGCGAAGGTATCACGAGGCTCTTCTCCATAGCTCAGTCCACATTGAAGGAGGTGACAGTTGGAGGCTGTTTTAGACTGCACTCCGACAGCTGGACCAAGAGTCCTTCTTCAAAGGCAGATGTGTCAGGGTGTTACTCTTTTTTGTTTTTAAAGATTTATTTTTATTATGTTTTTATTGGAAAGGCGGATATACAGAGAGGAGAGACAGAGAGGAAGATCTTCCGTCCGATGATTCACTCCCCAAGTGACCCCAACGGCCAATGCTATTCCGATCCGAAGCCAGGAGCCTATTCTGGGTCTCCCATGTGGGTGCAGGGTCCAAGGCTCTGGGCCATCCTCAACTGCTTTCCCAGGACACAAGCAGGGAGCTGGGTGGGAAGCAGGGTCACTGGGATTAGAACCGGTGCCCATATGGGATCCCACATGTGTTCCTCCCTCCTTCAATAACTCAAGATAGAATACACATAACCTTTTAATCACCATACTTTTCAGATGGGATAATACAGCAAAGGGTCCTAAAGGGAAAAGATTGGAAATAGTGATCAAAATGTGCAGTACAGAAGAAAAACACAAGTGAAGGGAGAGTTGTGGGAAGAAGGAACAAATTCTAAGAGAATAAAGTTAATATTTTTCCAGTCCTATTCAGACCTGTGCTCCACTTAGGACGATTTTTTTTGGTAGAATTATTTGAAAGGCAAAGAGACAGAGATAGGCAGAGAAGGGTATTGCTTCTAGTTGCTTACTCCCTAAAGGCATGCAATAGTCAAGTTCACTCCTATAATAGTTATACCTGGGCCAGACCAAAGTTGTGATCCAGAAACTCAATCTGAGCTGCTCTTATTGATAACAAGAACCTATTTACCTGAGCTATCACCTGCTACCACCTGGTATATACATTTTTAGGAAGCTGGAAGTGGGAGCAAAGTGGGTCTGGAATTCAAACACTGTGGTATGGATTGCAGGCACACTGAGTGGTGTCGGATACCCAACCCCCATGCCTCACTTTTAAAAATACTTGAATGATCACATCTTTAAAAACACTTTTAAAATAACCTTGCAAACTTGTAACTGTTATTGTTTCTCTGACAGGTATGGAAAACGTGAATATGAGAGACAGGCCATTCCTGACAACTCAGAGAAATGCTAGCTCAGGTATTTTCTAACTGATTTATTATTTATTTATTTGAAAGCTAGAATTGCAGAGAGACCAAGAGCAAATATTCTCTGCTAGTTTTCCGTGGTGCATTAACAAGGAGGTAGATTGGGATTGGAGCGTCGAGATCTGAACTAGAGGCCATGTGGGATGCCAGCACGGCAGGTGGTGGTTTAACTTGATACATCCCAAGTCCATTCCTGTTTTAAGCTTGAAAGAATGCTTCAACAGTGGTCATACTTTGTATCTTGGCATCACACTTTTTAAAAATTCATAATATACTAATTTACATGGAAATATGCCCTCAATGCCCTTATAAAATTACAGTTTTTTTACAAAATGTAATGACCAAATTCTAAGAGTTTCTAGAAATAGAGTTTCAAATATATTATGGAAAATGTACTGTATTATTTCTTGAATTTGCATTTAAAATACTTGAAAGTAACATGAAGTTAACATTTTAGCCTACCTATAATTTGATTTCCTGAAACCAGGATTTGTCATTTTTGTGGTTTTTATGAACAGCAGATAATCTGGTATTTCGAGTGAAAAATGGGATAAAAAGTAAAAAGTACAAACCAGTGGACTATCAACAATTGCATGCTTTAACTGAAGCAAAGAAGTTAGCTTCTGCGTCATCAGAGCTAAAGGTGAGGAGGGGTGTGTGTGTATGTGGTGTGTGTGTAGTTGAGGGAAATCGATTCCTAGGATGCATAATGATATTTACATTGCAAATGTGAAAATAAATAACATTCTAAATAGGTTTTACCGTCTCTCAAGTATTATAGTAAACAGCAGCTAACATAGGCCTTGGACCCTGTTATTTTATATGAATTTCTCAATTAACGTTACTAACAATGCCTTGAGGTCTGAATTGAAGTTTATTTTTGGAAAGAAGGCCATTTCATTAGCTTTCAGCAACATCCAACCTGAATAATAAAAATTGCTAGCAAGTGCAATATGTGAACAACATATATGACTTAAGTTCCTTTGGCACCATTATACTCAGGTACTCTGAAGTGCTGTGCTTTCTAGAATTCCCCTTTTCTCTCTTCTATGTTTGTCTCATGTGGAAACAAGGTGAACAAATGCTAGATTCAACAGGAGATTATAGAAAATAATTCTGAACATTGATGTAGGGCCAAGTATAGTGTAGGATTACTCATGAAATGTAGTTCCCTTGTGCAAACAACAGTGTTTCTTAACAGCAGCATTGTCATTGCTTGGTTACGTTAAACAACTGGTTTTTCAAATAATGTGTTAAGCAAAGTTTTTATTTGTGTTTAAAATTTTCATTTTCTCTCTCATGTTTGCATAGCTCTTTATTAATACTTGTTACAAAGTGTAACTCATGATTCTGGGGGAACATTTGATACCTTATTCTGGAAAAATTATTCTCTAGATTATATTCTCTCAAACTAAGGTGACTGTTCAAAATTTGGGATATTATGTGTTTGATCAGATGCCACTTGAAAACAATTTGTTGAGGAATTTAAAGAAATTTATATAAGGAATTTATATAACTATCATCATAATTTTTCATGTATCTGATTTCTGTTCTGACATATTGTATATACATCGAATGTGCTTGCATGCCTGTATAAACACAAACACTTAATTCATGTATTCTTGCATGATAATCAAGGTATGATAGTCTGTATACTTTTTACCTTAATATTTTTCTATATAACCCTTATAATACTTACTATATACTAATTGTTCCAAGCAATAAGTATTATATGCCCACTTTTTGCCTTGAAAATACAATTGCAAAATTCAACCCCAACTTTGATTAAGTACCACCCTGGGGGACGGTAGAGAGTCACTGTTTATCAGATAAGCCCAGAATAAAGTTATATTTGCTATAAACTGCAATGAAAACAAAACATGCTGCCAAGGCTTGGTCCTGACTATGTAGTTAGGAAAGGCCTTTCTGAGAAAGTAACATTGGAATGAGGATCTTAGATCAGTAAGAAGTAATTAAGCAAAAACCAGGGCGGCAATTACTCCAGATAGAAAGATGCATGATCACATCTTCTCGTTAGGCTGTGCAAGGCTTCGCTTGTGTCGTGTTGGAAGTCATTTTACTGTGAACGCCTTTGTGGAGAGAGACTTTTTATGGTTTAGAATTCCTATCCTCCACAGGTAAAATTCTCATGATTTGGCTATCTGGACTGAAAGTCTAGTTTGTTTGTTTGTTTGTTTGTTTGATGTTTTTGAGACCTATTTCCAAATTTCTTTCCTAAAGTATTACTTTAATAAAGACACTGCCACAAGCATATCCTTGAAACCTTTGTCATGTTAAATTATCTGCACATATATTTCATATGTGTATCTATTTTATATATCGTATACACATATATATGTGTGTATAAATATTATACATATATATTCATCCTTTCATCTGAGATGTACTAAAATAGCACAGACAACTTTTTGGTTGAATATGGAAGGGTAGAATGGTTGAGTATTATAGAGAACATTTCTTAGTGACGACACATTTCCTCCAAATAATAAACATTTAATAATCTTAATTATTATTGTGGTTTCAAAATTTGAACACTAGACAGGGGGAAAATAATTCCTTAACCTTGTCAACTACTTCTTTGCATCTCTGGTCCTTGTTTTATAGATTTGTGAGTTTTAACTGGCATTTTACTTCATTTTAAAGGATACATTTGAAAAGCAGAGCAAAGGAGAATAAGAGTCAGACCTTCCTCTGCCGATTTACTCCGTGAATTAGCTGTAACGACGGAGGGCGAGGCTGAAGTCAGGAGCTAGGAACCTACCCTGATCTTTCATGAGTTTCAGGGGTCCAGGTGTTTGAGCCATTTTCTCCTGCATTCCTAGGTGCATCAGTTGAGACCAAGATAGGAAGCAGAGCGCCAGGGACTTGAAGTGGCAGCATGATAGGGGAGGGCAGTGATGCAAGCTGGCAAGTGAGGGATTTAACCCACTGTGCCACAACACCGACCCTGACTGGCATTTTCAGGCTCATCCCTAACCTTTGTTTTCATAAACAAATATGATTCAATAAGAAGCTTTACAGTAACAATTTCTGAAATAACTTCGCACCATGGATTCATAGCTTCATAGCTTGAAAACTCTCAAATAATTTTTTTCTTTAACTATTAAACTGGCTCACAGTCAGTAGCAATCATTTTGATAAGCTTTTTGTTTCATTTTTTTTTTTAGTCTTCACAGATTCATAAGATAAAGAATTAATCTTTTAAAACATGTTCATTTTGTTTTGAACTTTGGTTAATGATAACAAACTGTCCTGGATACTTCATAATTTTCTAACACTTTTTCATTATAGAATTTTCATTTTATTGTTGTGTCTAGATTAAGCAAGATGTATTGGGAATGTTGCTGTACATGATTTTTTAATATTTCCCTTCTCATTTAAAGGTAGCAAGTTGACATTTTGTTTTCAATTTATTTTTGTTATACATGAGTAGTTCCCAAATATGATTTTTCTTAAAAGATTTATAGCTTACAGGGCCTGACGCGATGGCGCAGTGGTTAAGGTCCTCCCCTTGCACGCCCGGGATCCCATATGGGCGCAGGTTCTGGTCCCTGCAGCCCCGCTTCCCATCCAATTCCCTGCCTGTGGCCTGGGAAAGCAGTCAAGGACGGCCCAAGGCTTTGGAACTCTGCACTCACGCGTGGGAGACCTGAAAGAGGCTCCTGGCTTCGGATTGGCACAGCATCGGCCATTGTGCTCACTTGGGGAGTGAATCATCGGACGGAAGATCTTCCTCTCTGTCTCTCCTCTCTGTATATCCACCTTTCCACTAAAAATAAAATAAATCTTTAAAAAAAAAGATTTATGGCTTACATGGAATTAAATAATTAGAAATTAAAATTAAATATCCTTAAAGTTTACTTTAAAAGATTTACTTATTTATTAGGAAGGCAGAGTTTCTGGAAGGTGGTGGATTAGGATGAAGGAGTTAGAGAAAAGGAGAGCATGATGTATCATTTGCTCATTCAATATATATATGTCGTGTGTGTGTATGAGAGAGAGAGAGAAAGAGACAGAGAGAGAGAGACAGAGAGAGTTTGAGAGATCAATTTTCCATCTGCTTGTTTACTCACCAACAAAACCAGGAGTCCAAATCTCCCATATGGTTGCAAGGTCTTAGGCACTTGGGCCATTTTCTGTTGCCTTCCCAGGAACAGTAGCAGGGAGATGGATTGGATGTTCATCAGCCGGAACTCACATGGTACCAGTTTAAGCAGTGACTTGACAATGGCCCTTAAAGTTTAATGTTTTAATGTTATGAATGCTACTCTACCATTCTACACTATCTAGAATAAAAGTTATCATCCATGTTAGTCTTATTTTGTTTTCTCAAAAAGATGATTCTTTCTAATGTTACATAACACATTCTTGATATTTGCATTAATGTTAATGTTAAATGTTCATGTGTTTCCTGCTTATTTTACTATTTTAAAATGCTCATTTTGTACATCCAAAAGCAATATAATTGATATTCATTATTAATACAGCCCTCTTTTCTGGCAGTATTAAATATAAGTATATTTGAACTGAATGATAGAATGTCAACATTAAAGGCATGCAAAGAAATCATTGCTTCATCTGAAATGCTTAGCTGCATGCCCGATTTGTGTTATTGATACGCTTACAGCTGATTAGTGTGATAGTCCTCTGTGTAATCAATTTGTCATTGATCATGAACAATTTGAGGGATGTCAAAAGATTTGCTGAAATCGACGTTGACTGATCCACCTTCCAAAGGCTGAGACTGACCCTGAAGCCAAATAGTAAATATAGACTGAGGAAACGACAGTATCATGTAATTGTTAATTACAATCATGTAATTGTTAATTCTCATCTTACCAAGTATAAAAAAGATCTTTTAAATTATTGCTATATTTGTTTCTTTAGTTAGTAAGAATGACTATTCTTGTCCCATTCAAGAGTCCATCTATTAATTCTTCTTTAAATAAAAACACATTATTTTGAGAAACTGTGGATGTAAGTGAAATCAGATTGAATGTATAATAAATTTTTTAAAGAATTATTTATTTTTATTAGAAAGTTAGGTTTACAGAGAGAAAATACAGACTGAAAGGAAGAGCTTCCATCTGCTGGTTCATTCCTTAAGGGGCTGCAATGGCTGGAGCTAAGCTGATCTGAAACCAGTAGCCAGAGGCTCCTTCTGGGTCTAACATGCAGGTGTAGGGTCCCAAGGCTTTGGGCCGTCCTCAGTTGCTTCCCCAGGCCACAAGCAGGGAGCTGGATGGCAAGCGGGGCTAGCAGGATTAGAACTGATGCCCATATGAGATCCCAGCACATGCAAAGTAAAGAATTTAGCCATTAAACTACTGTGCTGGGCCCTGATGTAATAAATTTCTATGTGATATCCAGCTCCAGTAATGATCAACTTTTGATCATTATTTCCTATGTTCTCCCACCCACAAACATCCCTCTGTACCACTTTGCATTGAAGAGAGGTTTAGACATTATATCTCACACATAAATATTCTGCATGTATCTGTAAAGTTTTGGGGCTTTAAAAATGCTATCACTGCATGTGTATTTATTCATTTTTAATAATTAAAAGTATATTATCAGTGTTAAAAATCTTTAAGTCTTGGGCCCAACGTGGTAGACTAGCGGCTAAAGTCTTCACCTTGCACATGCTTGGATTCCATATGGGTGCTGGTTCTTATCCTGGCAGCCCTTCTTCCCATCTAGCTGCCTGCTTGTGGCCTGGGCAAGCAGTCGAAGATGGCCCAAAGAGTTGGGACCTTTCAACCACGTGGGAGACTCGAAAGAGGCTGCTGGCTCCTGACTTCAGATTGGCACAGCTCTGGCTGTTGTGGATACTTGGGTAGTGAACCATCGGATGGAGGATCTTCCTCTCTGTCTCTCCTCCTCTCTGTATATCTGACTTTCCAATAAATAAATAAATAAAAATTCTCTAAGTCTCAACTTTTTTCTTTTCCTATATTTGTAAAAAAAAAAATTTATTTGAAAGGCAGGGAAGACAGTGAGAGATACTTTTTTTTCCACGTGTTTGCTCACTTCTCAAGTGCTTGCCACAGCCAGGATTGGGCCAGACTGAGCTGAGGAGCCCAGAACTCAATCCAAGGCTCCTGTGTGCATGGCAGAGGCCCAAGCCCCTGAGTCATCACCTGCCCCCTCCCAGCGTATACACTACCAGGAAGCTGGAAAGCAGAGGAGCTGAGACTGGTAATAGGTACTGTGCCATGGGATGTGGACGTCCAAAGAAGGGGTTTGACCTGTTGCACCACAATTCTAGTCCCTCAAAAAATTCTTATTAAAGAATATTCGAAACAGCAGCTAAATAAGATCCACATGTTATAACTGGCTCTTCTGTTTAGAGTCCCTCCCTTCCCAGGTATGATTCTTTGTAATTTATGCATTCTTACAGTGTGAAGGATGATGATCATATCCTGGTGATGTCACTTACCATGATGTTCTGCCTCATATATCCAGTGCACAGTAAGCCAGTTCCTGCGACTTGTTCAGATTCAGATGTCATGTATCTCGCTTGTTTAAGGATGGAATTTTGTACTCCCATCGCTTTCTATTACAAATAGCACTGCCATGGATTTTTTCATGCTTGTATGTTTTTTATACTTTTGACTAAGTGAATTTCAGATAGATTTTTTTTAAAGATTTATTTTATTTTTATTAGAAAGGTGGATATACAGAGAGGAGAGACAGAGAGAAAGATCTTCCGTCTGATGATTCACTCCCCAAGTGAGCGCAACAGTCGATCCGAAATCAGGATCCAAGAACTTCTTCCAGGTCTCCCACACTGGTGCTGGGTCCCAAGGCTTTGGGCTGTCCTCCACTGCTTTCCCAGAATACAGGCAATGAGCTGGATGGGAAGGAGGGCCCCTGGGATTAGAACCAGTGTCCATATGGGACGTTCAAGGCGAGGACTTTAGCTGCTAGGTCACGCCACTGGGCCCTGCTTTAGGCATTCTTAAGGGAAGCGCTCATGTGTCATACTTTAGAAATACTAAAAACTTGTATTTTTTCAGAATAAGGTGAGTATTTTTCTGCAATATCCTCTATTTTTCAAAAAAATGTACCTTTTCCTAAATTTCATCATTGCAGTTATCAGGTCTTCCGAGGAAAGAGTTTGACTTTGAATTTGAAGTCAAGTAATCTTTGTGCTCATTTGTTTTTTTGTACCCCTAATTTTAAATTGGAAATCAGCACAGCAAACAAATAAACTCAAGGTTAAAGTAATCTGTGAATGACAGCCAAAAGTAGCATGCATTATAAACATTGCTTTTTAGAAGGTGTCTTCTGAAGTTCTCTTCAATACTGATAATTTCTTTTTCTCTTATTTTCAATTGGATTTTTATTTATATAGAGAATAGATTTCATAGAAAGTAAGAATAAAGAAAGGAAGAAAGGAAGGAAAAAGTGGTAAAAGTATGGTCTTTTAAACTCTTTAAGGTGTTAAGTACTCAAGTCACAGGGAAATTATGAAATATGCATATTTCACCCTGTTACTAGCTTACATTTTTGTAGATATTTAAGATCTAATATAGAATACACCACCTGAGGCTTTAGAGTAGATAGATCTTTATTTTAAAAACAAATCTATTCATTACTTACCATGATATGGTTTTGTAGCTGTAAGATTTTTCCCTTCCACTCCTCTTTCTCCGTCCCCATTTTCTCATTACCCAGTTATTATTTTCTGGATGACTACAGTAGTGTAGTCCCTTAGTAGCAGTTACAGATCAGTTTCTGCTGTTTAAGTGTATCATGTCCTCTAGGTATGGGGAGAGGTAGATTATCTAGATTCATGCTCTACAGGTAGCTTTACATGTTTCAAAATGGAAGTCCTACCTTATTCAGGAGCAGAGATGTGACGTGACTTTACTTCCCAGTATGTTAGTCTCCACTATACCATCCCCCTGTGAGAGTATATGTGTATACACTTGTAGTTTATATGGCTACACTACATCTATTTATTTTGTAATTTGCCTAAAGGCTGTCTTATATCAGAGAGAATATATGATATTTATCCTTTTGGGTCTTGCTTATTTCACTAAGCATTGATGGTCTCCGGTTAGGACCATTTTATTGCAAATGGCAGGATTTCATTCTTTCTTTATGGCTGAGTGGTAGTCCACAGAGTAAATGTAGATGTACCATAGTTTGTTTATCCATTCATTTGTTGAATGATGTCTGGATTGTTTCTGTGTCTTCACTATTGTGCTTTGCATTGCTATAAATATTTGGCAGGTTGCTCTATAGTAGATGAATCTTAAGTGGTAGAAAATGGATATGCAGGTGATACAGTGGCAGCACAATATTGACAGCTGCCGGAGATCACTGTTATCCCAAATCAGAGAAACCCAGTGAAGCAGCAGGGCTGAACCACATTGTAAGGCAGAGCTTGTCCAGAAGTAGTTGGGACTGTCCAGAAGAAAGTTTCATGAGGAAACTGCAGGTGTTCTTATAGTCTTCTGAGAGCAGAGAAGGTGAGGGTTGTAGTGGGCTGATCCATTGGCTTCTCCTTCACCTCACTGCTCCCTGCCAACCTCCTATCAATCTTCTTGGGCTACAGAGAGTGTCGCCTGAGGAACATGGGGTTGCTCTGTGACATGGAGCAGATGAGGGCGATAACCAGGGATGGATCTCAGGGAAGCACACCCCAGCATGACACAGCTGGTCAGCAGATGCTCCCACAGTACCCAGGATGTGCTAAATTTTTCAAAAGAAAATTCAGGGATAATTAATTTTAGCTTAAAGTTTTGGTTTCAGTGCTTGCATAATCTTTAGCTACTGAAGTTCTGTGAAGTGACTTCAAAATAAATAGCAGCTGAAATGCAAACAATTATTCTTTACAATGTCATAAAACTGCGAGACCAAAATTATTTTCTCAGGCTGCTATTTCTAGCAAGTTCTGAGTACAGGATTAAAGTCAGGTTTCCTAACAATTTTTCCAAGTAATCTCTCTTCTGCTTCCACTGAAAAAATCAATGGACGATCAAGCCATATAATAGATTTTGTGTAACTGATGTTTACAAGCTTTATGATGATGACCGAATTCTTTAACTTATCTACCTTCAGTGTTTCCACATGTAAAATGGGAATGATAATTCTTGTCATGTTTGCCAGGGAAGATGTATCCAAAATGTGGACTAGGTGGGATAAGCCCTTGACAAATGTCCTGGGGCTAAATGAATTCAAGATATTATTTACAGTATGAATGGAAAATGGAATGACTTCACCTTTCTTTGCAAACATAATTTTAAAGCAGTTCTTAAAGTTCCAAGCATTTCCAACCAGTTTTTCACTTTCCCTCCCTGGTTTTTATCATTGCATTTAAGGATATAATGTGAGAAAATGCATGAATAAGTATTTTAAAGCATCAAGTAGTTAGCTTGGAAGATGCAGATTAAACACTGCAGTTGGCAAACACTATTTTGAGACTTGGAAGTTGCTCTTCTTTTGTTCCTCCAAATGTAGATCAGAAAAGCACTGCAGACTTCAAAGTTATCTAAAGAACAGCGGCTAATGAAACAGCACAAGCAAGTGTGGTGGCAAGAGCACCAAAGACTAAATCAAGCCAGGTGAGAATGGGGGAAATCCCAAGGAGTAGACGTAGATCATTAAGAGCTACCATTACAATCAGAGTTTAAGTTGCAATGTAAATGTGGGTCAAACTAAAGTCTCATGATTTTCTTATGTTTGTCTGGAACCCAGTGACTCTGCTAGTATGGCCCCCCAAGCTCTCCCATGTCTTGAATCATCCTTTATTGTTTTCTCAGGCCATAATCAGGGAGCTGGACAGGAAATGGAGCTACTGGGACACAGACTGGTGTCCGTATGGGATGCTGGCACTGTAAGACAAAAGATTAACCTGCTGAGCTCCTGCACCAGCTCCTATAAAGGATTTTTAATAAAATGTGTATTTTAAGCATTTATTATATCAAATAGGTCCTTTATCTGGTCTTATTCTCTATCAAGTTTCAAACCTCATTACCTTTGACTTAAGTACTTTTCGTATGGAAGTAGTTTCTTATTCTGGAAAGTGATTCCTACATGTGAAGTAAAAGGCTTATGATTGCAGAAAGTTTTACAGTATGTCATAAAACTTAAAACAGAAAACATTTACATAAACATCATCACTACTTTCTGAGATGAATCTTACATCCATCTTCTGGAAGTTGCTTTTTGGTGGGAGATGTTTAAACCTCCTGAAAGGTTTTTAAAAATATATTTGCATAACTCAGAATATGATAACAGTAAAGCTTTTGGAGGCTTTAATTATGTTGTTCAGTGATGCAAGCTCAAAGGTTAAAAATGGGAGTGCAAACTTTTTAAAAAAAACTTGGCTGTTTCATATTCCCCTTGATGTGTGTGTTACGTAGTTCTTGAGGTAAGTGGAAGAGGCATGCACATGCTATTCTAGAAAGTTCGTCTGGCTGACCTGGTCCAGAATTACACAAAAACAACTGAAATGAGGAACACTTGTGTAATAAAAACTTTATTGTCTTGAGATTTACAAGAGTTGATAATTGGACAAACAGAATAATCCCTGGTTAATTTCCTGTGCTATTAGTCTAGTATGTTGGCTCATTTCAATATCTGGTCAGTGAAATGAAAAACTAATAGTACTGGGAGAGGGGTTGGAGAAATGGCTACAGCTGTGGAAACTTTCCAGATCACCAGCAACTCAGGCAGTTTAAGATGTCCGTGCCTGTGTACATTTAAAAGTGGACACCTGCGCATATGAAGTAAATGATTCTGAGACCTTACTGCAAGAGACCGTGTTGGAGAATCTGAGACCTACAGAAGGTCAAAACACTGATGTTCAAGTGTTTCTTGGGCAATTTAATATGTGAGACATAATAAACACAACATTTTATGTCTCACTTAAGATTTGCAATGGCATTACAGAATAGGTATCATTGCTATCTCTATTTTATTAAAAGTATTTGCACAAGGTAATTAAGCTAGCTTTATGCAGCTAGAATTGGAGACCATGTGTCTAATTCCTGAGCTTCATGACGTTGGTGTTGAGCAGCTACCCCAGCTTCAGATTTTATTCATTATCCACTACTTTACAAATACAAAAAAGTTAGGAAAAGACTAGATGTTTATCTCAAAAATTACACAAAATATTATAATTACTGCTGTATCTTATTTTATGCCATTTTAATATTATATTTTAATAGTAATAAATCCAAATACCTTTCTGTGATTTAATTTAAGCTGCTGTAAGCAAGGGACAGATATGTTTAGATGCTCGTGTAGAATTGTTTGTTTTTACTCTATAAGTGACTTTTAAAAACATTTTAAAGGATCTTTAGAATTTTACATTCTTCCTAGTAAATGAAAATAAATATACTTCTAATTCAGTTTGCATTATTCAGAATCTCATTTTTTCTAAATCAAAAAATTCATACATATATATGTCTATGTATAGATAAACTTGGGAACTTGGGGGATAGAGAAAAAGAGGGGATAAGAAGGAGGTTCAGGAACAGAATAAGTTCCTGTCCATTGGTTCAGTCCACAAATGCCCACAATATCCAGAGCTGCGCCAAGTATCAAAGCCAGAGGCTAAGAACTCAAGGCAAGTCTCTCATGTGGGTGGCGGGAACCCAACTACTTGAGCCATCACTGCCAATTGCCTTTATTAGAAGGAATCTAGAGTCAGGAACCAGGGGCAGGAATTGAGCCCGGGTATTCTAATGTAAGATGAGAGTATTTGGATTCCTGGTAAACACACAACTCCCACTTTTGAACCTTATAAATAACCTCCTTATTGGTATAGGTTTGCCCAGTTCCCTCTGCTTGTTTTCCTTTTCCCTTATTTGCCCACCTTTCATTCTGTTCTCTATCTTACTGCCTTGGGAATCCTTCTGAAATAAGCCTGAATAGATAAGATTAGCTTGACATCCTTCAGTGGCTTTCTAATGACCTGGCTTTCTCCAGCTGAAGCAGTGCCGGCACCTGCCATGTGCACGCCTTTGCTGGTGCTTTTACTCTGTCATCTTCCATCTCATTGTATAGCAAGGTCTTATATATATAATCTGAATAAACAAACCAATGAACAAAATCTCATTTAGTTGATTGTTGTGAAGTGATTGTGATCACGTCTATTTCAGAATCAAAACTGAATCTGAAATAAAATGTTTTATCAATGAAGAGAATGTTGGAAGCAAATGTCTTTGTGATCTTACAAATTTTGGTGAGTTTTTGATATTGTATTTACATGGCAGTTATGATTTCAAGAATGAAAATGGGCAATGACTTCATGTTCTTTTAACATTAACGTATTTTTATTTCTTCTAATGAAATAAAAATGTCTGTGCTCTGTTTCCTTGATTTAATTTTGTTTCACTATAGAGCAAGAGTTATCAGAACACTGGTGCATATTTCTTAAAAATGTGATAAATCCCATTCAGCAGCTGAGGGCAGATCTGAAATACAGAGAGCATCATCTCTTACCGCCTTCACATCCCCACACTGAAGTTAACTCTGTGGAAGTGCTAGAAGAGGTCAGTAGGTTGCCTTCATTTTTTGACAATGTAATATTTTATTTTTATCCCTACTGGAACTATTTGAGATAAGAAGCAAATGTGTATCTTGTGTCTTTAAACAAAGAATGAACAGTCTGTTTACTCCAGAGCTGATATATATGCAAACATCTGCCCAAGCCTCCTAATTTCTCACCCGGGACGTGACAGTGACCCAGTAACTGGTCTCCCTGCCTTCGTTCCTGCTCTTCCTCGCAGTGCATTCTGGGATTCCACCCCAGCAATTCAGTCTTCCTGTTGCTGAAATCTCCCATGGGTTCCTGCTGACTCCCAGTGCTCCTATTCTTCTGGTCCCCTTTCATGCTTTTCCAGTTGCGTCTCCTTCCTGACGCTGCTCGTTTTCCAGCAGAGCTGTCGTAAGGATCCTGACTTTTGACCTTTTTCCATGCCTCCTTTAAGCTAGTCTCATTCCCATCTCAGGAATAACCTTTGCAGTGGCTATTCCCTGTGTGTCATCCATGCCATTTTCTGCCACTCATGTCTTGGTTTAAGTATCCATTATCTTAGAGACCTTTCCTGAGCAGCTGCAGTCACTTCTTTTCATATCACTGTCTTCCATGTCTTTCACCTTCCTGATGCTTGCTTGTATCTGTAAGAGTATCAGTCTATTTGGTTTATCAGTTTGTTGATTGCCATGTCTCATTATAGTGTAAGATCCATAAGTATGGTATATCTAAGCATATAAACATAGTATATCCTAAGTATAGCTGTGCCAGGTTTCTAATTTGTATTTCTCATTTTTCAGTTGCTCTGTAATGTTGCTATGTTGCTTTCATAAATGTTAAATAAATATTGCTTTCATATAAAATTTAAATTCCATGCTCAACTGGGTGTTAGAGGCAGCGGTGCAAGGGAAGGAAAGGGTGATTAATTGGAACAGAACCAGATGTTTTCCCAAGCAACATCCCCATGTGGGAGCAGCTGGTTATACCATCCCCACCCACCTCCCCAGTGCCGGTGTTTTCCCATGTGTCTGCATGTTTCTTTGTGGCTACTTTGCTGGATGAGCATTACTTTGCTGGAATTTTAAAAACTTCTTCCACAGGTACTCGAAAGATTTCCATTATGTATTGGCTTTTGAGAGCAAGTCTGTGTCTTTCAATATAAATATTGGATGAATTACAGTAATTTGCATACTTCTTGTCTAACTGCCCAATAGATTGACTCTGTGAAGAAGCAATTGAAAACCGTATTCGACAAACTTAACCTAGAGCAACAAAAAATAGAAACAGACCTTTCGGACTGGAGTAGAAAAGTAAGTGTGATGCAGTTAGTGACTTATTTATCAATTTCTCATTCACATTAAATAAAATAACCATATGTATTTTTTTTTCTTTTCAGATACTGGATTATTCTTTGGAAGAGGAAATTAGCATGCTTACTGAACTTCCAATTGAACTACAAGTTTTAGAGTGCCCATACCCTGATTTGAAGTCTGCAATCATTAATGAGTTCTGCAACTTTACAGAGAAATATCAAAAGAAACTGCATGATGTTGATCTGCAGCTGGGAGACATACTCAGGTGATGAAACTACCTGAATTATGTCCATTTTCTATAGTGAATTCAAATTTTTGTTCAACATCAGACTTCACTTTCAGTTTAGTGTTTCGTAGTTACTATATAATTTGAATAAAATAACTTGATGGAATGATTAAGGTATTTATCAGGCTAAATCAAGATGGAAAGACTACTCTTACTGAACTCTCTGTTTCATAGGGAAGAGAGTTTGCATCAATTCATGTTATGAAGCTCTCTACGGTAAAATTTTAAAAATCTAAACTAGTAATTCGTTACAGAGGAGAATGTAGCCATAGAATTATTTTTCTTGCAGTCAACTGTGATTTTGTCTATGGTCAATACAGAGTATGTTTCACACAAAGCTTCTTTGTGTATGTTGTATGGTTTTTAGAAAGTGCACTTTTAATGGTATCCCGAGAATGATAATCCTCTGCTGAATGGCATGTGAAAGATTGAATGATTTAAAATTCAGCTTGGCCATGGTTATCTTCTCTAGTGTCTTCTTTGTTAAAATTTACTCAAAGGACAAATTTAGCAATACTTTCTTAAGTCAGGTCTGTGGTCTACTTTATGCAGTGCTATATATAGTTCATAGGGGATATTTTGTACAACAGTTTTTTGTGTGTTACTGACTTCAATATTTTCCACAAAGACTATGTATTTAAGAAGAGAGGAAAGCTATTGATGGCACAATTTATAGTAAACTAAAAATAGAAATTTATTTTTTAATGATAGATAAGGAATATGACAAACATTTGTTATTTCCTATGAATTGTTTGTGTGTGCAACTCCTCTATGTGAAACTATTTGTGTTTGGACAAGGAAAGGCTTAAATCCTTGGAATCGGTGGCTCTCTGGTTCACTCTTAGTTAGAACTCTTTTTGGTCTTTGTGTGTTAGAGGCAAGTGGAGTCAGCCTTGGGGACCTGCTTCACATTCAGTTCCCTGCCTGTGGCCTGGGAAAGCAGTTGAGGATGGCCCAAAGCCTTGGGATCCTGCACCCGCTTGGGATACCCAGAAGAGACTCTGGACTCCTGGTTTCAAATTGGCACAGCTCCAGACATTTCAACTGCCTTGGGGGGTGGATCATCGGCTGGAAAATCTTCCTCTCTGTCTCTCCTCCTCTCTGTGTATCTGACTTTCCAATAAAAATGAAACAAATCTTGAAAAGAAAAAGAATGGTTGGAGTTAGAATAGGCAGAAAGTAGGTAAAGGGGGCATTCTAGTAAGGGTGGAATAGAGTATAAATAGCTTGAAGGGAAGTAATTTATTAATTACATTTGTATTCTTAGCATCTAGTACATTTAGATACACAGCATCTGGTGAAGAAGTGATTATTCAGTTGAGTTGAATTGAAAATTAAAACAGTGAAGAGAGATTTGGAGGCATGTTATGAAAGCGTTATAAGAATGTACTCTGGAACACAATCAAGTTCATAAATTCTAGTTGAATAGCCTTCGTGCCACACCTAATTATCTTGAATACATCTTACATAATTGATGCTGTGTTTTATCTGATGAATATTTATTGAATAGTCATTGATATACAATAGTCTCTGCTAAACTCCTTCAGTAGACAGCTGAATCTTGAATTTGTCTTTGCCTTTGAGAAGGTTTGGGGCATACATGCATCCAACCAAATGAAAAGCATCCACTGAAGAAAACGTTTTGTAAATATTCTGGCAGTTTGTAATGATACATTAGCAAAGAAAAAAAAATCCATCAGCAATGGTTTGTTTCGGGAGAAAGGGAGTAGAATGAATATTTTAAAAATAAATCTAGAGGTGGTGGGCAATAGTTATCAGGGGCTAGTGGGTAGAGAGTTTGTTTAGAAATGTATTGTTCTAGCTAGAGCAATGAATTACATGTTCCATTATGGTATTAACTGTGCTTTTAATTTCCCAAGATCTACCATTACATTTATAGTGTCTCCCTTTTGATTCTAGTTAGGTCTTATGAGAATTCATATAGATGGTATGAATTATTGTCCCAATCCATTGTGACTCCCAATGGTTCTTTTTTTTATTTGGTTCTTTTCAAATAAAAATATCTCAGTACATTAGGGATGCAAAGTCCACAGTTAGCATTAGCAGCACAATCTGTTCTTTCCTAGTTGTTCATTTTCTAATTATTTATTAAATAATTATTCAGTTATTTATGAAGAATTCAACTGACCCTATGAAAGCATTTATCATTTATCCCTATAGTTTCTGTGTCTCAAGAATATATCTTATTGGTATACTTAACTGTGTACTCTTGATATATCTTTAGAATAATTTATTGTAGCAGCAAAAATGGATCAAGAGCCTTAACATCAGCAGGTGACACTATCTTAGATTATTGTGCATCCATGCAATATATTTGTAGATTTTTAAAAGTTTAACATTTACATATACTGACAAGGAACAATATCCAAGGGCTAGGTTAAGATACAGAATTAAGTGAACAACGCAATTGTACAGCACATTTGCTTTTCTTTGACACAATGCACAAATGCCAGTAACATCTTTGCTTCTGTGGAAAGGAAGCCTATGTCTGGGGTAAAGTAAAAGGATATTTTCATTGTATTCTGTTTTCATCTCACCATTTTCATTTTGAATAATAGGCATATGTTTTTTATTCTAAAATAATTATTTTCAGGAAGATGATTTTCAGGAGTCAAGATTACTTCCCAACAGGAAACCACAAGCAACTTACCAGGTTCAGTTCCCTAATATTCAATTCCCTAATATAGGGAGAAGATTCAATTCCCTAATAGAGAGAGAGACTTTGTATCACTTCTCAGCTTTTTGGCTAAGATCAAGTGTAGAAAGACACTCTGTAAATAGTTGAGTGATTAAAAGCCAAGAGGGAAGATCAGATAGTTGAAAAGATGATTTATCACTCACGTTTTCAGAATTATTTGTTGAAAACACATAATCATGAAGTTAGAGATATACACAAAAAACCATAAAAATAATACAAAAGTAAGTTATAGTAGTGGGTTAGAAGATGACAAATACTATGACAAATCTATTAGGATAGAAAAGATGTCAGGGTTGTGTAGGGGCAGATTGCACTTACAATTCTTACTAACAAATTTTGATGTCTGTTGCCTGGCCTGCAGCTGCTGCAGCCTTGTCCTATCTGGCTTGTTCCCAACCCCAGCAACCATGAGTGTGGGAGGGTTCCATGATTATGCCTAGCTCAGCCTGTCACCACACCAGCTTTTAAGCAAGCTAGCAGAAATTATAGTTCCACAAGAGTGGACCCACATAACTGCCACAGGATCTGCTGTCAAATCTGGTTCACTCAGGTGCTGGTTCATATCATGGTCCAATGTAACACTATCCATTCCCTGTTCCAACTCTCACTGGCAGGTATTGTGATCTAGCCCTGCCAGGTAGGCCCAAAACTCTAGCTTTAGGGTACACCAGTGAGTGGTGGTCACCTGTGATTCATGCTAACTAGCCCATTGTGATCTCCTACTTGGGCTGGTGCATCAGTCTGACCCATGAAAGTCCTGTGTCTTCCATCCTCCAAATCCATTGGTCTCAGCCACCTCACTTACCTGCAAGTATACTGGCTTTGTTGATGAGAGCCCTCAGAAGTCATTCTTCACCTGCAACATATTCCCTCAGTTATCTTCCCTCCCTGATCATCCCTGGGTCATCGCCTTATCCTCCTCCCTGATCCATCCACAGAATATGCACAGGGGGATATATCCTCAGCCTTCACCCTCAGGACAGCATGAGAGCGGGACATGGGCGACCAGTCTGTATGGCTGTTGCTTGCTATGGAGTGTGAGCCCAGGCCTTTTGCCAAAATACATACATTATTAAAATTGTGCCTGCTTATGAGGTGTCTTAACATACATATACATTGTGTGATTCCAATCAGTATAAATAATATCTATCATCTTCAGCTTTCAACTTTATAGTGAAAGCATTCAAAATCTCCTAGTATTTGCTTCTTCTTCTTTAAAAGAGAAGTAAATAGTTAATTTACATTCTCTTCAGTCACCCTTTGTGCAGTTTTGGGTAGAAGTCGGGGATAAGTCTTGTTGAGATAGTAACACTAAACCCAGGTCATAGAGGTTTGAGACAAGTTACTAGATATTTGGGGTCAAAATGTTCACTGAGGTGTGAGTGAGCCTGGTAAGGCTGATGTGTAAGGAATAAAAGGCAGATCAAGAAATGAGGTTAAAGTTGAGCAGTTGAGAGTAGAAGTTTTAAATCCTTCAGCTTTAAACTCTTCAGCTTTAACTCTGAGCAACAATGTGAGAAGGTGCTCAGAGGAAGTGAGTTCGTGGCATTGGCAGTTGCTGTGTTTAAGATAGACTGGAAAGGTGGAAGAAACAGAATCCTTATGTATTGTTGATAAGAATGTAAATTTGTACCACTATTACAGAAAACAGTAGGGTTGCTTTTGAAAAATTAAGGATAGAGGAACTCGCATCCCTGCTAATGGGCTGGGAAAGCAGTACAAGTTGGCCCAAAATGCTTAAGCATCAGCCAAGTCCAGTCTGAGCTCTTGCTACCATCTGGGTAATGAACAGTGGAAGGAAGATTATTTCTCTATCTCAAGCAGCTTCCCTTTCCCCCTCCCCCTCCACACACTCTGTATAAAAACTTGGTACAGAGAAGGCATAGAACTTTCAAATGAATAAAATAAAATTACAAAAATAAATTAAGGCTAGAAACTCTATATGTTCTAGCAGTTACCCTACTAGACATATATCCAAAGAAAGTGAAATCTGTGTGAAAGCAAATGTTTGAAAAAAATGTGACACATATACACAATGGAATACTATTCAGCCATAACAATGATATGAAGACATTAGGTGACATAACGTTAGTAAACACAGAAAGGCAATTATTACATGATACCCCTTATAGGAAATCTAAAAAATCTAATCTCATAGCAGTAGAGAGTTAAATCAAGTTACAGGGGCTGGAGAGAGATTGGTGAAAGCGTACAGTGTTAGTAGGGATAAATTCATATGCTCCATATTGCTGTAGGGTGA